GCTTAGGACAAACAGGCATAACTATATCACCGCTGAGTCCTGCAGTAAGGCAGCGCAGTGCCACGGCTCTGCCAAGCGCGCTGCGGGCAGCGGCTGCTGGCGCAGCTCGGCACGCCCCTGCTCACACCCACCCTACTGGGGACGTGCCCAGCGTCCTCCGAGCCCAGAGCATGCCCAGAGAGCTGTGCCCAAGCAGCAGCACTGGTGAGAAGCTGTGGGGAGCCCACCCTGCAGTGACCAGCTCAGGCGCTGCCCATGGGCCCAGCACAGGTCCTGGCTCTCACGTCCTGTCTTTGAAGCAGATGCTCCAAGGAGGAGGCGGTTCACGCTGCCGGGGCCCCTCCTGGCTCAACCATGGGATTCGTGTGCCCAGAGCTCGGCTCTGTGCAGGACTCAGAGCTCTGCGAGCTCCAGAAGAGGTGCTGCAGTGAGGAAGCTGCAGGAGCAGGTGTACCTGGGTTCAGCTTTTCTGGTTCATGAGCCAGGAGAAGAGCAGTTTCCTGGGCTGGGGCCTCCTGGCCTGCCGGATGCGCACAGCGCGCGGGGACCGCCACACCTTGATGGTGGTGTCGTCGCTGGCTGTCAGCAGCAGCTCCTGCTCCACTGGGCTGAATGCCACCGAGTTCACCACATTGTCGTGCTGCAGCTTGGCCAGGCAGACGTTATAGTGCCGGTCCCAGATGTAGCCATGACGATCCTCTGCCCCACTGTGGCAGAGAGACACTGGTCAGGGCGTCACACTGGTCAGGGCGTCACACCAGCAGCCCCAACACCCTGCTGCTCTCACCCCGTTCTTCTGCAGGGATAGGGGCAGAGGGTGTCCCAGCCCCTGTCTCCATGAGCACAAGCAGCTCCCTCCAGGATCCACAGCCCCTTCACCTCGCCCCACAGCACCTGCAGCCCCCAAGAAGGGCATTTGCCACCCACCACCAAACATGCCACAGCCCGAGATTTCAGAATGTTATGGGTTTGAATGGACCTTAGAGACCATCTAGCCCCAACCCCTGCCCTGGGTAGGGAAAACTCCCACTAGACCAGGTTGCTCAAGGCTTTATCCAACCTGGCTTTGAACACTGCCCCCTTTCCTCAGAGATTTCCAGCAGGACCAGGGCAGACATCCTTTATCACACCCTCCAGTTGTCCGTTTGCTCTTTCCAACCCCATTCCCTGCTCTGCTCCCAACTCTCCAGGAGTGTCATGCTGGCTCCAGGTGTTCTGCAGTGACAGCCCCAGGATCCTGCCCACCCCCTGGGCACACACCTGGCCACGAAGTCCCTGCTGACATCGAGGAAGATGAAGAAGCACTCCTCGTTGGGTGTGTATGCGCGGTGCGCGCGCAGCGCTCGCTTCACCTCCTTCATTGTCTTCAGGTCGAACACATGCAGGTCGATCTCCTCTGCTATGGGGGGAGGCTGCATGGGGTCCGAGATGACACAGTCCCGCGGCCAAGCTCGGCTGTTCACGTACAAGTACCTTGGGGAGGGCAGAGAGGGGTTACCTGTGCCACACTGCACACGGCAAAGCACACAGAGGGCCCGGACAGAGACTGAGCCCGCAGCCCACCTCACTGCAATCCAAGGGAACAGTCTGCTGGCCATGTTTGGAAAGGGCCACCACAACTGAAAGGTGGCTCTAGGGGTCAGGTCATGCCTTTCTAAATCCCCTTAAAACCATCTTGAGGGATGAGGGTGTCTTGTGAGTAGCAGGTGAAGGGGGGGATTCTGCCTAAGTCCCCACCTGCAGTGCTGCCTCCAGCTCTGGGGCACCAACAAAGGATGCAGAGCTGCTGGAGCAAGTCCAGAACAGGCCACAGAGATACTCTGAGGGCTGGTGCACCTCTGCCATGGAGACAGGCTGGGAGAGCTGGGGGTGTTCAGTCTGGGGAAGAGAAGGCTCAGGGGAGCCTAAAGAGGCTCCAAGAGAGCTGCAGAGGGACTTGGGACAAGGGCCTGGAGTGACAGGACAAGGGGGAATGGCTTCCCACTGCCAGAGGGCAGGGACAGATGGATATTGGGAAGGAATTCTTCCCTGTGAGGGTGGTGAGACACTGGCACAGGTTGCCCAGAGAAGCTGTGGCTGCTCCATCCCTGGAAATGTTCCAGGCCAGGTTGGATGGGGCTTGGAGCAACCTGGGCTGGTGGAAGGTGTTTCTGCCCATGGCAGGGAGGTGGGAACTACATGGTTTTTGATGCCCCTTCCAACCCAAACCATTCCGGGGTTCTACAGGTGATCTGCCTCAGGAACAGCACACACTGGTGTGTGCAGCTCCTTCACTCTCACAGGGCCTGATCCTGTCCTGAGCTGGCTCAGGAACACATTCCTGTCACGATCGGGGGCAATGTTCAGCTGTAACACACCATCAGCACCAGGATGACAGGCACCTGCTCCACCCACCACAGTCACTTCTCCTCCTGGTCCCCCCCCCAGAGCCCACCAACCCTGCCAGCCCCCACACTCACCGGTGGTCAGGGGAGAGGCCCATGCCAATGATGTGCCCATGGATGTCGATGACATGATCCAGGGAGTCAAAGAACTCATCCGAGCGCCTCTCCTCCCCCAGCACCGGCCCTGCGGTCGTCATCTGATGGGGCAGGATCCTTTTAATCCCTGTGGGACACAAAGCAGAGCGAAGAGGTTCCACAGGATACTGCCAGCAGACAGCATGGAGTCCCCAGGCTTTGGGAAGGAGCTTCCCTTGGTGCTGCTAAGAAAGGAGAACAGGCTCACTGACAAGGGCTGGAACTGAGCTGGTGTCCCTGCTGGGCTCCTTTGAGCTCTACCAGTGGGCTTTTGGCCAGGATCTCCAGGAGTGATGCACTGGCACATTCAACCTCAGACAGATGCCCAGTGCCTGTGGGTACAGCCACACCTCGCCCCAGCCTGACTCTGAAGCACACGGAAGCTGTGCTGGCTGGGGAGGCACATTGGTAGCAGAAAGGTTTTTCCCCCTCAATGAATCCCTGGGCTGGGTCCATTCTCTGCACTGTTCAGCCTGGAGGAGCCCAGCAGATGCACTGTCCAAGCACAGGTCAGCCCCAGAAAGCTCCCAAGAGCAGAGGTTTAAACCAAAGCTGGGCTCAAAGGCTTTGTAGCTTCTGAATTTCCTGACTAAAGGAGACACATGTGCTGGGACAAACTCTGTCCCCTTCCAGCTCTGCACAGAGGTCCCAAGCATAAACCATCCCCAATGGGATCCTGGAGCACCCCTGTGAGCCCCAGTGGTCCTAGGCATACATAAGCTTCATCCTCCCAGACCAGAAGGAGCTGGAAGATGGCCTGACCCATCCCACTGCCCCTCCAAAGGAATTGCTGCCAACACCCTTGATTTTATCCCCCTCCTGCAGCCCCAAAAGACAGGAGTGACACTCTAAGTCCAAGGCCACCCCCAACATCCTTAGCCTTCAAGACAGGACTGGTGTTCTTCCACTCCACTGGCACTGCTCACCACCATCTCCATCCTCACTTCCACAGCACCACACTCTCAGTTCCAAACATAGGCACACCCGAGCCAGCAGGACAGGGCACTCTGCTTGCCACCAGCAAGAGGAACAGGACCTCAGGGACCTCAGGCTGCAGCACAGCCAGGTGAGCACAGAGAACTCCTGCACCCCCTGGGGCCACAGATCAGCACACCAGGGCTGGTTCTGCACACAGACCAGGGGCACACACGACACAGCAGTGACTCATGGGGGACAGAAGCTCAGCCAGCGTCTGGCCCCGAGCACACTGTGCCACGGGCACTGGCCACCAGCCAGGGAGTCACAGAGTTCAAAGGCATCAAACAAACCCCTTGGCCATGGGAGGCTGAGCAGGAATTCGGGAGTCCAAAGGCTCTGTCTCAATGTGTGGCAGGTCCCACTCTGTGAGGAGGCCTAGGCTCAACCTCGGGGATGGAGGTGCAGGCCTGGCTCAGCCCAGAGAATCCAGGCACAGCCCAGGAGATCCAGGCACAGCCCCAGCTCAGCCCAGGGGACCCAAGCACAGCCATGGGGATCCAAGTTTAGACCCAGCTTCGTCCAGAGGATCCAGGCACAGCCCCAGCTCAGCCCAGGGGATCCAAGCACAGACCCAGCTCAGGCCAGGGATACAGGCATGGCCAAGGTCCACCACAGCTGTCTGCAGACCTGGCCATGAGTTAGAGCACAGAGCTCACTCAGTCCAGGTCATGTTCCTAACTGAGGTGGGAGAGTGACTCTTCCCCAAGTTGCCTCCAGTTCTGGAAACTGCCTCCCCCTGCCTAACTGGGCTGTACTGGTGTGGGACTGAGTCACGCCAAGGTCAGGAGAGCCTGCAGCAGGGAAGCAAGGCTGTAATTGTGCAAGCAGTGAAAAGAACTCAAACTGTGTGGCTTCACAGAAGAGTCTTGCCTATGAGCAGTGTCTCCCCCATATTTCTGATCCTTCCCTCTCTGCCTGCTTTAGTGTGTTTTGGAGAAGGAGCCAGACTACCTGCTCCTGCTCCCCACTGCACTGACATCCTGTAAGTTCAGACTCTACTAGTCCCAGTGCCTCAACAAGAGAGCCCCAGGTGAGCAAGGGACACCCTAATCCAGAACAAGGCCACTGGCAGTGCCATTGCCAGGGCTGTGCTGCACCCACAGCCCCTTGTACCCCCCTGAGCAAGGATGCTGCAAGCTGAGCAAGGATGCTGCAAGCTGCCTGGCATCGCTAACTACAGAAACACCACCTGGGGCAGCCAGTAACCCACTATGAAACCCCGCAGTCCCAAGGCAGGAGGGTCCCACTGTCTCACTGGGGCTCAAAGCCCATGTGATGGAGGTTGGTCCCATCCTGGACAGAGGGCAGGCAGGGAAGAGGCAGGGGCAGGCAGGGCATTCAGAGCTGGGAGCACTGTGCAAATGCCACATGAACTCCATGCTGCTCAGACCAGTCTTGCCCTGATAGCCTCTCCATCCCCACAAGAGAACAGGACTGAGACCCCTCCACACACCCACAGAGGCAAAATAGGGCAAGCACTACCCTGGCAGCAGCAAAACAACCCTCAGACAAGTGCTTGTGAGGTGGAACCCCTTCAGTGACAGGGGCCTCTCAAAAAAACCTGTATCCAGAGTCCAGAACCCTGAGCAAACTGCAGCTCACACCTCACAGGTGAGCAGCAGACAGACCAGGTGTCTCCCAACCCAACCCAAATCCCAGAGCACAGCTGGGATTTGGGTCTCTCCCAGCCCAAATCCAGAGTACAGCTGCAGCCCAGGGAGGCTCAGACCCAGCCTTACCTATCTGGTGTGGGGAGTAGGTGAGGCATCCCGTGGTGAAGATCAAATACTTTATCTTGCTGTTGCTGTTGGTGGGGAGCAGGTTTGGCTCGGGGCGTTTAGTTCTGTTGCGCACGAACAGCTCAGCCACCTTTGTCTCCAGCTCGGTGTCGCTCAAGGCAGGTCCCACTCGCCCCTCCAGGATATCATCGAAGAGCTGCTGCAGCCCCTGCTGCGCTGGCACACCCCCAGCCCCCTGTCCTGCCTGCACCTCCCCAGCCTGCCGGGGCTGGGCCTCCTCCTCCTCGCTCTCACTGCCGAGGTCGAACACTGGGCAGGAGGAGGAAGCTGCCAGCTGCTCCTCGTAGTCCAGGAGTAGGTCTGGGCAATCGTAGCGGCTGCAGTCGGCCACCATCACAGTCCGGATGGTGCTGGCATTCAGGTTCTGAATTTTGAACAGTCTCTTCACTACGTTCATATTTTCAGACTCGATGCCCTGCAAGCAGAGAGGAGAAGTGAGCAGGAACACATGTCACTCCCACAGCTCAAACCCTGAGCTGGCACAGGGACATTGGCCACCAACAACCCCTTCACACTCTGTGTGTCTCCTGACAGGAGACATGGCCCAAGGCGATCCAACTCTGCTGAGCTCCTGCCTACTGTGGATGGACACACACTGGGACAAAACGTTCCTGCAGGCAGGCAGCAGTGGAGCTGGGAAGCACAGAATCTGACCAGGCAGCTCTGTGGCCAACCAGCCTGACCTCATCAGCTGGTGCTACCCAGTGCTTTACAGTGCTGGGCAAGAGCTGGATCCGATCCTTGTGATTCCCTTCCATAGAATCATCAGGGTTGGAGGAGACCTCTAGGATCATCAATTCCAACCTTTCATCTGTCACTGCTGTAACCCCTAAACCCTTAAACATATCTTCCAGAGCCAGGTTCATATGTCTCTTTAACACCTCCAGAGATGATGACTCCACCACCTCCCTGGGCAAACTATTCCAGTGCCTGACCACCCTGACAAGGAAAGCATTTATCCTAATATCTAATCTGAATCTCCATTGTCTCTTCCAGCTCAGGATACTCTGCATTCTATTATCTACAAGAATTTCAGGCACAGGCCTCTGTGATAAGCATGACTTGGGATCCCTCTGGTCCACAGCAGCACTGGCAGAAACTCACCCTGTGCTCCTGGAGACTGCCAGTACCCCTCAGCAGGACCAGCCTGCTATCTGCTCCAGACACACACAGCAGGTCCCTCTCTGCCTCACCGCTCATGCTGTGCCCGTGCTCCCACAGCCCTGCCATGGGCAGGTCCTTCCTGGCCTCTCAGATTTGGAAAGGTTAATGCTGCAGGGTCAGTGCAGCACAGAGATGTGGCTTTGGGAAGGGTCTCTGCCACCAGAGGGTTTCACCTAGGGTCTGTATCATGTTAAAAACACAAAACATGAGGATGTACAGCTGTGACATTGAGACAGAGTCAAAACATGGAAGAGGAACACAGCTGAGCAGCCTAGGTGCCACAGAATGGAGGAGCAGTCTGAGCCCAGCACACACAGCTCTCCAGGTCTCACCATGGCATCAGAGGCAGCACCTGTCCCAAGGAACCTCAGCTGGGCTCAGGCAGAGCTGAGCGCAGCCTCCAGCTGCCTCTGGCTCTCGGGAACAAAGCCCTGAGCTGGCAAGAGACAGAAGGGCCATTGCTGGGACACATGCCAGGCTACTGCCAGCCCAGGCCCAACTTCAGACTGACAGGGACCTCTGCAACCCTGCAGTTGGGCAATGCATGCTCTGGGGGACTGCAGTTAAGTCCTAATTAATGGGCAAGAGTTAATGGGATGTGAGGGCAGTTAGAATATTGCAGTGGGTACCACAACACTGAGTGTGGAGAAGCCTCACGCAAGGGTTGCCTCGAGCTCAGGATCCTGAGGGCAAGTCAGAGGAGACAAACAGGGAGGACAGGAGGACTGGGCCATCCTTGCCTGCAGCCTTCCCTCCCCCAGGAGGCAGCAGGAAGCTGCACAGCCTGTGGAGCTGGAAGGAAGCTCACCTGGAACGCGTTGTTCAGCCACAGCACCGAGCAGGAGGTTACGCGCCCAATGCGATGCAGATTGCCCGAGATCAGGTTGGTTTCATTCAGCCAACAGCCAAACACGTCGTAGGGTTTGTTCCTCACCCTGGAAAGCAGCGTGAAGTTCTCTGGAAGGGAGAGGAAACATGAGTGTGAGGTGATGGCTCCCAGCCAGGGCTCTGGAGAAGTGCAGGACAGGGGAAGTGGACTTGGGTCTGGCAGAAAAAGCGCTGAGGCAGCACTGCCAATCTCCATCCAGTTCCCACTCCCTGCTGTGGAGACAGAGCATCTCTCCCTTCTAGAGATGTGTGGGGAGAGCCTGCACAAGGGAAACTGAAACAACATGGCAGCCACAGATCCAGAGCAGAGAGCAGTGCAGCCTCCCAGTCCTTCCCTGAGTAGGGCCCACGGCAGCCCCTGGGGACAAGGACGAGTCAAACTCAGACAGACTTTCACTCCCACGCCTGGAGCTTGGGGCCTTTCTGTGCACTCCTGAGTCCTGGCACAGTGGGACTGTGGCACAGAGAGAGTGAGAGATAACACAGCGGGGATTAGCCACAACAGAGCTGCAGCAGGATCAGAGACTCTGGTGACAGCACCTCAGAATACCACATGAGACCTCAGGGTGGGACTAGAGCCACAAAGATGCTCCAAGGGCTGAATCCAGCAACTCTGCCAAGGAACCAGGCTGGGAGAGCTGGGAGTGTTCAGCCTGGGGAAGAGAAGGCTCTGGGGAAACCTCAGAGCCCCTTCCAGTGCCTAATGGGGCTCCAAGAGAGCTGCAGAAGAACTCTGGCCTGGAGTGCCAGGACAAGGGGGAATGGCATCGCACTGCCAGAGGGCAGGGCTAGATGGGACATTGGGAAGGAATTCTTCCCTGTGAGAGTGGTGAGGCACTGGCACAGGTTGCCCAGAGAACCTGTGACTGCCCCATCCCTGGAAATGTTCCAACCAGGTTGGACAGGACTTGGAGCAACCTGGGCCAGTGGAAGGTGTCCACGGCATGGCAGGGGGTGGAACTGGATGAGCTTTAAGTTCCTTCCAACCAAAACCAGTCTGGCATTCCATGTCTGGCACCACACGAGTCAGAAAGAGGGGCTTCAGAACAATGTGGATATAACCCTTGTCTTGCCCAGACTGTCACACAGAACAGAAGCTAAGTGGCCATAATGCCACACTGCCTTTATTTAGGTGCCGCTGGGCTGACCTGAGCAGACTTAAGGCTGTCTGTAAAGGTCTCCCCTCCAAAACCATGATTGGGACCCCTTCGCTCAGATGTCAGAAGGGACAAGCTGAGGTCAAGGCCACCACACACCAGAGGAAGGGAACTCAGCCCTCCCAGGAGCCCCAGCAGGCAGCACTCACCCATGCTGATCACAGCAATCTCCCCTGAGGAGGAGATGTGAGGCCCCACGAAGACTCCAGACACCAGCAGAAGGGAGTCATCGGAGTTGAACTGGGAGAACTGGGTGTAGCTCCAGTTGTATGGCCTCATGTTGGAGCTGTGCTGCAGGGAGATGTCCAGCTCATTGCTCCAGATCTACAGAGACATGAGCAAACAGGCAGGAAGCTGCTGAGAAGCCTGAGAGTGGTTCCACTTTATCTGCCCTGCCACCACTCACCGGGACAAGAAAAACAAACAGTATCACAAACCTCATTTAACTGCCTACCAGTCCCCATGGCCCTGACAGACAATGGAGAGGGGCTAAGTACAGAACTGCTGCTCCATCAGCCAGTGGAGAGGTGTTCAGGAAGTGCTTGGTGCTCTCACAGCTGGGTTTCCACTGTGTTCAGAGAGATTCCTCCCAGGACAACCACTCATGCAAGTGGATCATTGTCTCCCCACTCTTTATCAGACCCAGGGCACAACAGGGTACTGATTTGCACCTAGAAAGCACCAGAGCCAGGCAGGCACCTTGCCCATGTACACACACACACACGGGCTGGCACTGCAATCCACAACCCTCAGGGTGACATTTGCAAGAGTCATTAGTATTGTGGCTTTGAGAATAGCTCAGGAACCAATCTAAGTCCAAGGACATCCAGTCCAACCTCTCCTCTCCACACACTTCCCAGAGGTTACTCTCAGGGCTAAGCCCCATGGAACCAGGGCTGGGCAGGGCTCCTGCCACTTTACCTTGACTGTGCAGTCTTTGGAGCACGAGGCAAACAGGCAGCCAGAGTGGGAGAAGCTGAGGTGCAGAACCTGGTCATTGTGCTCCTTCAGAGCCTGCACCTCCACACAGGGGATGGTGTCGTAGAGCCTCTGGAACTCATCATACCAGGAGACAGCAGCTGCAGCACAGAGCAGGGACACGGGACAGCAGTGTGAGTGAAGGAAGCACAGAACTGGACTAAACACAGCATCAGCCTTTACTAAACCAGTTGAGGCTCCTGTGAGCAATGCCAGAAGCTCTGCTGGGGCACCAACCAGGGCTGCAGCTAGTTCCCAGCAATCAGCATTATCTGCAGTAGCTTCCCTACTCCCACACACAAAAACCCCCTTTCTTCCAGTAAACACACAGCTCCACACTGTACATATGCTTTCCAAACTAGCACAGCCCTACTGAAACCCTGCCAGGGGAGGGTTAGGTGGATATCAGGAAAAGGTTCTTCCCCCAGAAGGTGGTTGGTTGGGTACTGGAACAGCTCCCCAGGGCAGTGGTCACGGCCCCGTGGCTGACAGAGCTCCAGGAGTGTTTGGCCAATGCTCTCAGGCACAGGGTGGACTGTCGGGGTGTCTTGTGCAGGGCAGGGATTGGACTGATGGTCCTCAAGAGAATTCTGTGTGATTCTGTGTGAAGTAGCCAAGGCAGAGCTGTCATACTAAACCCCTGCCTAGGACAGAATGGTCCTCCAAAGGGAGATGTGCTCCAGCACTGCCAAACCTGCCCAGCTGTGACGAGAGGGAAGGTTCAAAAAAAGGGTCTGCGACCAGGAAAAAAATATCTCCATGGTATAAAAAACTTGGAAAAATGAGGGAGAAGAAAGGGAGTTGGACACAGCATGCCAGGAGAGGAGGAGCCCTGTGGCAGCACAGTCTGGGGCACACTCACAGGGTCCCACTGGCAGCCAGAAAAGAGACAAATAAAGAAGAATTTCAGCAAGGGCCTCCCAGACAGCTACAGACTTCTGGCAGCAGCAAATCCCAAAGAAGCAAAGAGGATTAGACATGTCTATGGATAAGGGCCAACTTTACTAGTGACACTGAACAGAACTGAAGGGCTTTTTGGAACTCGCTGCAGCCCAGGAGGCACCTGTCCTGCAGGCAGGACCCAGCTTGCTGCCAGCACAGCCCCCAGTGCTGCTGGGATCCCACTGGGACCCCACATCCCAGTGCAGGCTGGGACTTTCAGCCCCTCTGAGGCTCCTGGCCCCAGCCTAGCTGGCTGGGAAACAGCCTGAACAGACCCCATGTGGCCAAGCAACCCCAACATTTCCTCTTACAGACACACTGGATACTATTCTCTCAACCCTCCTGGGTTGGAGCTGCCCAGGGCAGGCAGGCTGGCAGCTGAATTCCCCAAACTCCCACTCCATCCCCTTCCCAGGCCTCCAGCTGTCTCTGTCCCCACTGTGCCATGGAGGGAGCCCACAGCTCCAGCAGCACAGCCAGGGAGGGGCCTGAATATGTTACTGAGCTGCACTGACTACTCACTCCTAATTAGAACCCAAAAACAGGGCTGGCAGCTGACTAACGAGCTCCAGGAGGAAACAAGCCTGGTCAGGGCCTCCAACGAACCCTGAAGAGAACATCATCAGCCCCACAGAGCAACCAGGGTCTGCACAAGGTGAACTCACACAGCCTGAGTCATCCCACCCACACCCCACCTCTTCCCAGAGCCCTTCTGCACTGCTGTTCCTGCTGCAGGAGAATGGGTCCTGCTTCTTGTGCTTTGGTTTTCTTCCTGTCCTTCTGCAGCCACTGCAACTCAGGATCTAGGAGCCAGTTCCCTATATCACTGCTGGAAGCCCCTGCACAGCCCTCCTGGATCCCTGCAGCATGCTGGGAACAGGCTGTTTGCACCCCAAGAAAACCCCCCTGGGCAGCAAAGGGCTTCTGCTGGCAGGTGCCCAAGGCCTGTCCCAGCTAGTGACAGTACTGTCACCTTACAGACTGCACCAAACTGTTTCCAGCACTGGATGCTCAGCCTGGAGCAAAGCTGTGACCACATAACTGTCCCCCTGAGCCTGCTGACAGCTTGGCTAGGGACAACCCTGCAGGCTCAGCCCTCTCCAAGGGTGCTGAGGCCCAGACCACGTCCAAGCTGGGGCAGCTGCTGCCCCAGGAGTGCCCACAGGGCAGCCACAGGCAGGCAATGCCCACCCCAGGCAGGCACAGTTTCCCTGCCCAGCCTGGTCCCACAGGACCCTCTGAGCAGTCCGTGGCAGTGCTCAGCCTGGCTGGGGAATCACAGAATCAATCAGGATGGAAAAGACCTCTGAGATCACCAAGTCACTAGACCATGGCACTGAGTGCCACATCCAGTCTCTCCTTAAACACCTCCAGGGATGGTGACTCCACCACCTCCCTGAGCAGCAGATTCCAGTGTTTGATCATCCTTTCTGGGAAGAAATTCTACCTGATGTCCAACCTAAACCTCCCTTGGCACAGCTTGAGACTATGTTCTCTAGTCCTGTCACTTGTTCCCTGGGAGCAAAGCTTGACCCCATCAGGTTCCAACCTCCTGTCAGGGAGCTGTAGAGTGATTAGGTCAACCCTGAGCCTCCTCTTCTGCAGGCTAAACACCCCCAGCTCCCTCAACTGCTCCTCATAGGACTTGTGCTCCACCCCTCAATGTCTCTCTTGTCATGAGGGGCCCAGAACTGGACACAGGACTGGAGGTGCCTCACCAGTGTCCAGTACAGGGTGGCAGTCACTGTGCTAGTCCTGCTGCCACACTGCTGCTGATACAAGCTAGGATGCCCTTGGCCTTGGTCACCTGGGCTCATGTTCAGCTGCTGTCCCCAGCACCCCCTGGGCCTCCTCCACTGGTTTGCTTTCCAACCATTCTGCCCCAGTCTGTAAGAAGCAGAGCCTGTTGCAGGGATGGCTGTGAAGTCCTGATGGGGACAAGCCAGCAGTGACTCCACAGATCCACAGGGGCTGGGATACAGCAGTCTCCCACTCACTGCAGCTACCAGGATCTCCCTGGACAGCACTTGCAGAGCACCTAGAGAGAGCTCTGAAACCTCTCTGTGAGAGGAAGGGAAAGGCAAAGCATTTCCAGCCCTCTGATTGCTGTTTCCAAAGGGTTTGGGCAGTCCCAGAGCTCTTCCCATTCCTATTACAGCCTAGGACACCCCATCATACAGTGACACCTGGGACACAGTGACACCCCATGATGCAGTGACACCTGGGACAGTGACACCCCATGATGCGGTGACACCTGGGACACAGTAACACCCTGGACACAGTGACACCTGGGACATGGTGACATAGACACAGTGTCAGACCTCAGGACACAGGGACACCTGGACACAGGAATAGCCCTGGGACATCCAGGACACAGTGTCACACTGCAGACACAGTGTCAGAGCTAACGGGAGGCTGCCCAGTGGCTCCACCACCGGCACAGCACACCGAGAGCCGAGCAGCACCGCGGGGGCAGCAGAG